ACTTAGCTGATTTGCATGAGCTATAATCAACTTCAAAATCTCTAATTAATTTGGGGTTTCACATGAAAAACGAATTATGAGTCCAGTTTAAAGTCCCTCGTTGCTGTTCCCATTGTTTCTTGAAAATTTTCACGGACAAACATAAATGCACTAATCCCTCTAGAAGAATCCCTCATCGAAGCCCAAAACTAGAAAGTTTAAAAAGAAAAGTGAAAACCATTTCCAAAAAAAAAACCCAACAACCCATCAACGAGATGTGTGTGTGTGGTAAAACCGAAACACCTTACGAAGTCGCTGAGAGCCGAGGGAACTGGCTGTAGTCTGCTAGATGAATTCCCTCTTTGTTTTTGCTCTCCTGTTTCCATTTGGCGTTCCATCCCCATGGAGAATCCAGATATTTTCCAGCTCTGCAGGTAGGTGTCAGGAGTTCAGTCAGGAATGAGCTCAGTGCAGCCTGGACGGCTCAAGTATGTTAATCTCAGGAAGCACAGTCCGTTATTTACAGCTGCAATTCAGATGATGAAGTGTTAATTGCAGATTGGGAAACTGTGCAGTTAAAAGCTAAAAGTGGTCTCAGGAACAGAAAATGATGATGCTGACAGCTTTACTGCAGGCAGTTAGCAGTGCAGTAGATTTAGAGACAGGCCTCAGTCTTTTATTTCTAAGATATAGAAATTATTTCATATTACCATGAACCAGCATATGTCTCCAGCATAACAGAGTTAAGAATATTACCAACATAGCGATGTATTTCAATTTAAAAACTTTGAGATAAAACATTTGGGTGTACAGGGAAAAGGGATGGTTGTGTATAAGACTTAAAAAGCATACTTTAGTACATAAATGAGACGATATAACATCAAACCAATCACAGACAAATCCATCATCCAGAACTCTGCAGCTCTATTGGCAGAAATTAAATCTCATTTCAAATTTTTTAAATGTGAAAAACATGATGGAACTGAACATACTAAGAAATAAATGTCCAAATCTCTTCTGAGATCAGAATTCTTATCACTGCTTTTTTTTATTATTTTAACTTTAACTTGCCCACACAAATTATAACTTATTTTGATTTCTGTTAAATATCTACCATATAAAAAGATATATTAGTAGTGACCAATATACATTTTTTTAGCCTGCCTGCCATGAGTGGTCAGTAATAATTCAATTAATTTATATTAGGAGTAAAAACATCACAGCATTTATTTTAAATATGAAATGATAGTGGAGATGACCAACACAGCTACAAAAATCGCAGAGCAAGTTCAGCAGATTCTAAAGGGCAGAGTACAGAGTTCATGTTGCCTTCAGGTCAAGAACACCAACCACTAAGTCAGCCAATCAAGTGGGTAATTTTCAGTTTGACAGTTGCCAGGGATACATTTGTCTTTGATTTGGTGGAGTTGGACTGTTTTTCAGGAGAGGGGCTCAGCAACTTTTGTCCTAAAATAACTCGTACAACTTTGTAGGAGCAATTTGTGGACGGTGCCAATATGGCTGAGCACTGGAGTCTAAGGCAAACTCCACAGAACCATATGGTAGATGAGAGAGTTTGGTGTGGAAGAACTTGACTGATTTTGTACTTAGTTCTGGCTTCATTCACATTTAACACTTTTGGGATAGATTGGAGTGGAGACTGCTAGCTTAGCCTTCTCATCCTACATCAGTGTCTGACCTCACAAATAGTCTTCTGGGGGACTGCTCACACATTTCCAAAATAGGCGGCTGAGCAAAAGCTTTTTGCAAAAATAATGTACGCAAACGGTGTTGTCAAGATGACCAGGTAGTGATAAGTGACAGTGCAATCAGGAAAATATCTGGTTTTCTCAGCTTATATCGTTTAGAAATTCTTCACATTCTTTTAATACATCAGTTGAGACATTTCTACTGAATTTTCACATATTGTTTTAACTACATTCATGTGAAATTGGGACTAAGGTCTGAAGGTGCAAGTTTAACCATAGAAGGACACAGCTTTAACTGCTGCATAGTCTAAATACTTAGAATTTACTTATTCAGTTGTCATTTTAAAACATTTTGCAAATACTTTTATATATATATGAATACAAAATGTTGGATCATGTCAGACCTTTAATGTTCTGGAATCCCCTTACAGCTCCTGTATGAATCCTATTTCTGAAAAATTTTCCTGAATATTTGATCTGGTTTTGACTGGACAAATCCACCGGTTCTTAATGTATTGTTACAGAAGAAGAAGCAAAGACTGTTTGAACGATACATAAAATACTCTGTTGAAATTTATTGTAACAATTTGTAACAGGCTTTATCCTGCTGTACTGTAAATCTAGGTACACCACACAAATATCTTCAGAAACTTTCAATGTTTTTCTTCCAGATTTATTTCCAGAAAACTTACAGTGATCTATGTTTAAAGTCAATAATCAGAAACTCTCAGTTTAAACTCCAAAGGAAGTTTGTGCTCAAAGTGACAAAGTGTTTTTGCTCATTGTCTAATTTCTCCGAATGCTAATGTTGCATGTTATTTCATTGCATAGGTTATATTATCCACTGCTGAAAATGGTGTTCGACTGAACCAAACTGGTACCAAAATTAATTTACCAAATATTATTTCATATGCTTTGAAACTTTTCTGAAAATCAGCATTAACGTCTGGATTGTTGTGTTGCTCCGTCAGTCAAGACAGAAGAATGTTCTTTCGCCTCATTAGCTTACTGCACAACAAAACATCTTCACAATGTCATGCATGTTCACAGACTGTAAGACGTTTCCAAATATTCTCCAACGCATATGAACATTTTCACAAAGTGTTCCCTGGTGTCTGCAGCTATGTAAAGCTGTTGGCTCTGTTTGCCCAACAGCTAAAGAACTGAAACAGAGCTGGACGTCCTGTGAACGCATCGCTTCAAACACGCAATAAATCTCTCAGCTCATCTTCCCTCAGCGTTTCTCGGCTTTTCATTAATATAAACCGCTTTCACTGTGATGCCACGTTGTATTTATCATCTCCAAATAAAGGTTTTCAGTTCTATTTTCAAAGTAAATCCCTTCAGAAATGAATATTCTTGGATAACTTTCTTTGGGATTTCCTTGTTAATCCTTTAATGAGTTTATGGATTAAGCTCTTCAGTTTTGTTTTGTTTTTTAATTTGTGGTTTTGTGAAATATTGAATACAGTGCATTTTTAACGCCAAATAAAATCGATGACGCCCCTGCTGTTTGCATCCAGACCGCTAGATGGCAGCCTGCAACAGGGTTTCGGTGAAGCAGAGCAGCAGCTTCTCTCTGTTCGGATTTAAGTGACTTTTTTTCTAGCTGTTGTATTAAAAATAATACAACAGCTAGTACCTCTTATTCAATCAACACTTTATCACTAAGTGAAGCACAATGTATAGATTAGTTACGCACAGATGAATGTTTGAAAGCCCTTATCTATGTTAATTATGATTATCTTAAATTTACCTGCTAATTAAAACATCAGAATGTCACATTAGACCAATAAAAAAACAAAAGCAAAACACATTTTCAACATAGTAATGTGGCCTTAATGAAAAGTATTATCACACATTTTTCCTTTCCTTTAACCTCTGCAATAGCTGTCAGCCAAACGACTGCCAAGTCAGCAGTTTTCCCCATCACCCAATAACATTACATACCCAACATTTCTGACACACAATTTAGGGTTTTCATTAAGTATAAAAATAAAGCTTTTCTCTTAAAAATAAAATCCTGATTTGTAAACTGCTTTTAGTATTTACTCTGGTTATCTATGTCGGATTAAAATCTTTCCATGATTTGACACATTTAAACCTGATTAACTTCAGGGGAAGCGTTGTGACGAACAAAACTGTTGCCATGGGAACTAGTCCAGTAAAAAAGGGGGTCTATCACATCTCCATTACAGCTTCTGCCACTGAAGCCAACTTGAGTCAAGATGAACCGATTTTAAAGAACGGATCCATGTAAAACTAAGCGAAAGCAACAGACAAACCTCTGATTTAAAGGTGTTCCGTCATTTTGTGCTCTCCTCTTTGTGTGGGTCCCTCTCCCAATTTTATTTGTGCATTAGTGGCTGAGCCGCAGTGAGCGCTCCAGGCCTGTCTGCCTTCCAGACCAAACACACATCCATCTCTGTCTCCCAGGCTGCTTGTGACCCCTGCGTTCTGGCGTCGAGTTAACCTTCACTCTGGCGTCCATAAACAGCCCGGCTCCTCACCGAAGGCCACCCAGCCTCTGTGGTCACTCTCTGAGATCAGCATTAGTGGGAGCTGATGGACGCCCTTGAACCGACGGGCCTTACCAGTCACAAAGAGTACAAACAGAAACGATTTTAAAAGCGTAATAAAACTGCCTGAAGCTCCCTCCGCCGTGCCGTTTTCTCTCCTCCGCTTGTGCTTTCATTATGTTTTACGCACTGTGGGGGATTTTGCTCAAGAGCTACTCAGAGTTAATATCGTTGAAACGTTGACCAGCAGGACAGCTTGTTCTTCTTTTAAGGTTTTCGTTCCACATGTCGGTTTTCTGTTTGAATGTATTTCAGTGTTTGCACCATGAGTAATGAGGCTGAACATTTTCTCAGTTACTGTAGGCCGTGCTTCATCTTTGGCTACTTTTTGTGCTGCAGCCAAGGATTCATTAGAGTATGGAAGTATAGTGGCTACTGCTGAAACTTTTTTTTCACATTTGGTCACATTAAAACCACAAACATCCAATTAACTCAGAGCAGCAGTATTTCACTTCAATATGTACATATTTTTAAGTACTTTTTAAAATCAATATTCAAGAATTATCGACTTAGAACAAGTGGTGGGCATGTTTTGGCTAATGTGTTAGTGGTGACGCTAACTTTAGCGCGTTGGTGTTTTTGCTAACTTATGAAGTTTTTATCGCACTTAGCATCCCCTAAGTTAATATTTCCAGACAAATTCTGAAACACTAATTTACTCAGCTATTTTGTAAACGTTCAGTTGGATAAAGTTTAACATTTGTGTTGAGGTTTTGGTTATCAACCGATTAAGAAATCAAGTAGCTCATATTTAGGTTCTCATTTTGAAGTCTATTTACTCAGTTGCTACGTTTCCTCTCCTTCCGTTTTTTTTTACTACATCATCATCATCATCATCATCATCATCATCATCATCATCATCGTCATCATCATCATTATCATCATCATCAACTTTATTAAGACACAAGTAGGTCCAAATGAAAAAAAAAAATTAAAAATACAGTTCCAGAGTTAAAATCTACTGACTGCTTTCTTAGGCAAAATCAGTAACAGCGTTAGCATCACACATCAAATAAAACTGAAACCATGAGTTTATTAAAGAAAAAATCAATTCCTGAAATGCAAACTGATCTGTAGAGTGTGATATAAAACATGTTGTCATTGACATATAGTTGATGTCAACATAGTTGAAATTAGCACTTTAGAATTAGCTTCCACTCAATTACTATGTGCTACAGTACTTAAGTATTAATGGAACAAATGTTTATGGTTAGTGCTTTAGGTTTAGCACCACTAATATTTTAACTACTTGTGCCCACCACTGCTAAAGGCTAGCTCATATCTGGCTAGAAAGTTACTTATAAGCTAGTTTTGTATCATTTTAAGTACTATAGAAAATACTATTTTACAAACTATATCAATATACTTGGTAAGTTTTTGTGCTTTTGTAGTGTGTTCCTGCTAAGCTATAGCATTCTCACAGAATGATGCTGCCACCACCATGTTTCTCAGTCGATTCCATTGATGTTTATGTGCAAAGTTAGCTTACTGTGTTTTTCATGTAGACCAAAAGTAAACCAACCACCTCAGCCTTCACAGAAGGTTGCATTAGGGGGCTAAAAATACGTGCATGCCACACTTTTCATCTTCTTCTTCATAAAGAATATTAAAAACCAGGCATCGTTTTTCATCCACTTCCCAATGGTTTGTAACTTTGTGTTGGTTATACATTCACAGTAAAATGAATGGCGTAAGCATGCGGTTCTCAAGTTACAAAAACAAATGTGAGTTGTTGTAATATTCAGTAACAAAAGCAGCTTTAGGATGTGACAGAATGAGAGAACCGCCAGTGTTCATATTTTCAAAAGTGAAAGTAATTCAAAGAAGTGCATCAAATGTAAAATGGGTTTGAATTCCACCAGTTATTACCAACTCTGCAGTTTTCTCGGCTTCCCGGAGCTTTTCAGTCGATTTTACATATTTTACTTATATGGACTTCAACAGCCCCGCTAGAGCTGTTCTTGTTACCGGCAGCAGCTGCAGGGAAAGTGATTTATAACCTTTAATAGACCCTCTCTGGCAACTTCCGTGCTTGAAATACTCCTCAAGTCATAACTCAGCTTGCGAATGATCATTATCCACAATAAACACGTCTTATGGCTGACAGCAAATAAAGATGTAAAAAGTCACTGGTTCTTATTTGGACAGGGAAGTAAAAGGATGGATGAGGCAGCTTCCTCAAAACATTTTTACTTCAATTTATTTGGAGTGAGACACACAATTGTCTTCAATTAATGTTATGTTTTCAGACGTCCTGCCATGTCTGTTTTACTGCCAGTATTTTTCACGCTGAATGTTGCACTGCGTGGTGAAATGGAAGCAATTCAGACGTTTTTGACAAATCCATCGGAGTGAATTGAGTTTTCTTGATCTCACTTTGAAATTGGTGACTTTACTAATACCAATCCACAAAAAGAAAAACGTCCAAATGTAGCCGTGCAGACAGGATGTAACATTTCCTACACAGAGAACAGAACATTCAGTTCAGGTTTGATGTATATGTTGTGATGATTAATAAGTGATCATCTGAACTCTGCGGTGGTTGACTAGTTACTTTAAAGACCTGCTTTGCTGATGATCTGTCAAGGTTGCCGTGAATCGACTTTTTTGTAACTGAACTGAAACGCACAGAATTCTGCAGCATGTCTGCATCTAAAGGTTGTCAAAGTCAAGCTAGCCTAACTGAGCCTCACTATTTTAAACTTTCTCTTCAACTGTGACATGTGATACCTTTGGATCTTAACTAGTTGTTGTAGTGTTGATGATTAACAGCAAAGTGCTGCATCTCTTTTTCTTCTATATATCACGCAAACATTTGAGATTTAGCACGTTATGCTAACAACTTGACAGCTAAAACTAATGGTAGTTATCGTCAGCAAGACATTTTTCAGGATTTTGTGTGCGTGACGTCACGTTTACAGCAGTAGCTCCATCGTGATCCCCCAAAAATGTCTATAATTTTAAAATAATTTAGTAATTTTTATTAATAAAAATCCCCAAATATTGACAATTAATCTGATTTTGTCCTCTAAGTTATAAAGGACAATGGAAAACATGCATTCTTTTGAAAAAAAAAAAAAGTCTTTGGAACATCCCAAAAAAATTGATGCCCTGGGCTACTGCCCCTCTAAGCCCGTTCTAAAGCTTCTTCTGTCCAACTTTAGCATGCTAGTCCCAAACCCTGGCAAGGTAATGCCCAGTGGGCGGCAGCAGCTGACTGTTGCGACTGCAACATGTTTACCCACCACTGAATTAAACATCCTGAGCCTCAACAGCTAGTCAGGAAAGTGAGGTTTTCATTTAAATGCAGATGGCGTTCGGGGGTGACTGCAGGCCAAGTGTTTGGACGGCTGCTCAGGCTCCCAGTTCAGTGCAGCGAGATGAAGAAGCTGCAGGTGGTAGGAGCTGACGCAGACTGGGAGTGTTGTCCTCCCTGGGAAGGAAGCAGGCTAGCATCAGCAATAAAACCAGGGATTCTGGCTGGAAGCTGGACAGCAACTCATTAAACGCTTCACTGGGACCTGAGCTCAACTGGCAAATCTAGAAAGAAAAAAAAGAAGCCAGTCCTAGAAACTTTCTAATGAGCAATAAGCAGAAGTTTATTTGGCATAAAGTTAGGGTGTAATTCTGAATGTAACTCAGAATTACACATTTCATCTATGTTTAGAATTCACTTATTAGTGACCTATTAGGATGTTGCCATGAATTTTATGTGCAATAGAAACTATTTTATTTATAAATGATCTCATGATGTTATTACAATTGATTGAGATAAACATGATTTTATGTTTTTTCCCCCATTTTCTTTATTTCAAACCACATATTTCAGTTTTTCCTTTTTCTTTTTTTACCATTTCAACAAATTGATATTAGTGGTTCAGCTCAGGCAGAAATTCCTGTCAAAAAAATGGGAAATTTTGAGATTAAAATTAAGTTTTAAAAGTCAAAAATTGTGAGAGAAAATGTGTTTTTTAAAAACAAAATTATTATTATTATTATTATTATTATTATTATTATTATTATTATTATTATTATTATTATTATTATTATTATTATATCAGGAATTTTCCAGGAAAAAAAAATATTTCTGAGTTTGGAAAGTTGAAAATTTGCGAGGAAAAAAAGGTACATTTTGAGTTTAATCTAAGGAATTTTCCAGAAATAAAACTAGGAAATTTCAAGAGTTTCAAAAGTAAATGATTTCTGAAACTCTGAAGATGTCTACGTTTTTTTCTAGAAAATTTCTGAGCTCAATCTTAAAATCTTAAAAGTAAAAAAAAATGTCACTTTTGAAGCTCACAAATGTCCTTGTTTCTTCTGACATTTCTGAAGTTTTTTCTCCTTTTTTATTTCTTTCTAGCCATGATTGACCTGACATTAAGTCTTATATGTGAGCTGTCTGCAGGTGTGAATGAATTTCAGCACCAGTAGACAAACTTCAGCCAGCAGAGTCCAGAATATTCTGCAACACTTATTCCGCTTCCCTCCATTCCCTTTCATCTTTATGCAGAATGTCTCACAGCGTTGCCCAAAAGGCCAAATCCGGGTGATTTGCAACAGTTTCCCGGCGCGATGAGATACTTAACTTTTTTTTTTTTTTTTTTTGCAAAAGCAGTTCCATCATCTCAGAGAAAAAGAGAGAGAGAGAATTTGAAGTTTAGAGCATCCCCTCTCCCGCCGCTCTCAGGGCAGATGTGATGGGTTTCACACAGAGGGCGGCTCTGTGAGCCAGATCCCCAGCACACCTTCCACCTTTCTCTTCCATCTGCCTCTTTTCGAGGCGCACAACAGATGTGGTGAGCGTGTAGGAGTGGAATTTCACCAGCTAACTGTGACTGCTGGAGTGGGGCGACGCTCTGCCAAAACTACATTTCCATCTTTCATGAAAGAGTTTCTGTCAAATGGAAAACAAATGTGTAATTGACGTGTTTGACGACGATAGATGCCGAGGCGTTTCCGCCCTCCGACGCCAAACGCCGCTTTTGAAATTAGAGGCCGGTGTTCTGTCAGATAGCCATACGCTGTCAGGATAGCATACATGCAGTCAGTACGCATGCCCGCGCATGCGCATTAAGAAGTCCGACCGTCAGTGGAGTTGTCAGTTCAGCATACGCAACAAGTTATGACGAAAGTAAGTCATTAAATTGTTTATAATATGACATAATATGATAACTGTATAGATATACATGCGTTGTCATGGTTTCAAAGTGTATTTAAAGCAGGTCTGGCTGCAGCTGCAGTCAATTACAACACAGGCCCGTGTAAAACTCATTAACCTACTTAACCGCTAAGTCAGGATGCCATACAGCTGTTCATAACAAAGTGTATGATGATCTACGTCATGATCCTATGTTGCTGATTAAATAAAATCATATGGTAATGACTACTATACATGTCTGAGCTAAGCGTATGACTATCTGACAACGTATGCTGATCTGACAGAACACCGGCGAAGAGGAGAGCGAGAGGGAGAAGTTAAGCGGAGTAACAGCGGGATGCTCCGGCTTTGAGGTGGGAGTAGCCCGGATTTGCTTCTGAAGCTTGTCATCAAAAACGCATGAGACGCAAATAAAAGGTGTGCAACTGAGACAAGAATGATTTAATTAGTGCACTTGAAACACTTTGGGAGTAAACAAGCCCCGTAAATCTCTCTGAGTGAATTCCAACCGAGGCATTTGCGGAGCTAATAATGCCGCTGCTGTCTGACTCAACAGGACACAAATGTATAAGGATGACAGCTTTAATGCGTTTTCTGCTTGTGATAATCTTTGGAGTAAAACCTTTTTTTCCGCCTTTTCTAAGGGTTTGTTCACACCAGTCCTGTTCGGACTGCTTTCAAAGAACCAAACAGGAAGTCCGGTTCGCTTATGAAGGTCTGAATGTGTAATTGAACTCTGATTGGACTTAAAAGAAGCAAACTCTGGTCCACCTACAGACCTTGAAGTGAACTGTGTTGCTGTTTCAATGCATATGAGAGCCGCTCCAAAAGCAGGAAGTGGACCACAGTGCAGGGCATTCTGGGTAAATACAAGCTAAACAAATGCAGCACCATGTTTCGCTGTGAAGATAACACTTTCCATGTTGTCTTCATCAGTTTTGCAGATATACGTCACTTTGTATATCTACAAAGTGATCTCATAGTTTTGTGTTTTTCTCGTCTCTTTGTGGAAAAGCGTATTTGAGTTAAAGCCAAAACTGGCAACGTTTGATCTATTAATTAAAGGGGCACTATTATCGAAAATCAACGTTTTTGAACATTACATCATGTTAAGATGTTATCCCTCGTCAAAAACAAACCTGGAGTGTTGCTTTGATTCTTTCATAAATGTTTGAGAAATCCTTTAATCTCCATGGCAACCATTCATCTGTTCAAAAACACCTCGCCTTCAAGGTGAAGCTCCTCCTCGGTGCTGCGGTTAACGAGCTCCCGCCTCACAGAGCAGCTCCTCCACTCAGCTCCTCCACTCAGCTCCTTCACTCAGCTCCTTCAGACTAGCCAGCAGCAATTAGCAAACACCTGGAGGACCTACACCTACAGCTGAGCTCAAAAACATTGTTAAAGGGTTAATAGAGGAGCCAAGTTGTGATGACTTCCTGGTGGCGGCGCTTCAGAAAGAGCAGGAGTTTTTAAAGAGACAGAGACTCAATTTTAAAGAGTTAAACTTCAAAGTCAAATTTATTTTTATCATTTTTATAACTGAAGGTAAGATAGCTAAGTTATTGTGCTATAAAGCAATTGTATGTGCCTGGAAAATACATAATAATGGCCCTTTAAAAAAACAAACAAACAGACAAAAAACATGTTAAGCAAGACAAACTACATACAAAGTTTGTTGTGGATATAATCGCTGGCTGGAAGCCGACCTTTACTAGTTGTACATCCCTGCAATGAGCGAGGAAGGTGGGAACGATGGTATCCTTCATCATCTAGGTCAGTGTAGTCCTGAGTGTCGCTGCAGAGGGAAGAATCAGTCCGTCTGTCTTTCATCTCATCATTGAGGAGATTAGAGTCGGAGCTAGTGGAGGGGAAACCCCCTCTGTCCTTCTCAGCAGGTAAGAGGACAGGTGGAGCTGCTTCCTCCTTCTGTCTCTCTGTCAAACTCTCTCTTTCTTTGTTGTGGGAGTTTGAAGGGCACACACACACACACACACACACACACACACACACACACACACACACACACACACACACACACACACACCTATGTGGTGGAAAGCTGCCAAGCTGCTGCTGCTGCTCTTGATGAGAACTAGAAAGAAGACTTTATAGTGAGTGACGCGGTCTGGATCCAACGCTCATCCCCACCTCCACCTCCACCAGCAGCAGTCCTGCTCCTTGTTTACTTCCTTCCGCTCGCAGAAGAACAAAAACAAATCCAGTTTCAATTTAATCCTGCGAAGGTCGGATGAAAAGGGAGAAATGAAAAGCGTGCAGTTAAACCCAGGACAGCAGGACCAACAAAGACTCTTATGGATACGTCTTTGTTTTTGGAAGGACTGAGAGGTTCTGCATCTGTCATTGTTCCCTCGTGTTGTTTTCTGTCTTCTTCCTCCATAATCAAAGCTCTTATTCAAAGTGAGTTTTATTGTTGGTAAAAGTCAAACAGTGGTGGAATCAAAGTGGTTTTGAGAATTTGGAAACCACCTTCAACCCGATGGAAATGAACTTTAATAGCAGGTACACAAATTAACTTGGTTATTTTGTATTTAATATTTGCTTTCATATGTTAATGTCTAAACTGTAGATGTACTGTAAAACTAATCTAATCGGATTAATCATGATGAATTAATAAATTATTTGCCAACTACAATAATAGTAGAGTATCCACTCAAAAAGAACAGTTTACTGAAGAAAACACATCAGAGCAGATATGAACCAAACACTGCACAAAACACTTCTTTGTAAATATAGATATATATTTGAAATAAAAATACATATTTAGAGATATATATTAAGCATTATTAATAAACTTCAGTGATCCTAATTGTGCAGGCATTCTTTCTTTTCATGTTGCTGCATTTTCACTTTCAACCCAGTAAGATGGATTTTAAATGGATTTTTTTGCTTCATGTCTATGTGACAAAATGCCCCTTTAGAAAATGCAGCTGTTTTGCTATTCAGTGTTATTTCCTGCATGCTGACCATTTTATTAAAAATGAAACTCTTTTTTTAACATGTTTTAAAAGCAGACAGGGAAGCCAGCAGAGAGAAGGAGACGTAAAAAGGAAATGGGTCAAATCTGCAGCAAAGATTCTGCACAAATATTCACGCTCTACTCAGCAAAAGCACCAAATCTTAAGTATTTTTTCTACTTTTTCTAGTAAAAATATCTTAGTACATTTGAAATAAGACTAAACTAACTTACAAGTAACTTTTCAGCAACAAATAGGAGCTTGTATTAAGTCTAAATTCAGTTCATATAGCCGGAGCAACAGAGGCATGGTTTAGTTTAAATCATATTTTTGCATTAGAATGGCTCAGTCAAAGACTCAGACCTGAATAGAGTGAGGAATCTTGATTCAATCTGACTAAGCTGGAGCTCTTTTTTAAGAAAATGGGCAGAAATTTCAGCCTGTAGATGTTCAAAGCTGGTAGAGATCAGAAATGACTTTCACCTCCAAATGAGAAAGGTGTTATTTAGAGAGGCTGGACAAAAATTAAAGGGCCAGGATTATGGCATATAGAGCAAATTTATAGTACCATCAAGTAACAATGGTAAAGTCAGTTGTTAAATGATGCTCTCTCTCTCTCTCTCTCTCTCTCTCTCTCTCTCTCTCTCTCTATCTATCTATATATATATATATATATATATATATATATATATATATATATATATGCATGGCTTAAAAGAAATTTTACTTTGTAATTTAACGCCTAGAAATTAGGCCTCTGTCTCTTTAAGAAGCTCCTGCTATTTCTGAAACTCCACCTTCTGGAAGTCATCACAACATGGCTCCTCTATTAACCCTTTATCAATGGTTTTACCAGCTTCACTCTGAGAAGTAGCTCTTATAATGAGCTCACCAGGTGTTTGCTAATTGCTGCAGGCTAGTCTGAAGGAGCTGAGTGGGAGGAAGGCTGATCTGTGAGGCGGAAGTTTGGAAGCTGCAGCTCAGAGGAGGAGCTCCGTCATCAAAGGCCTCCACCTTTAATTTGGTCATTTGGTCCTTCCAGGCCTCTTGTGCAACTCAATGGTTGCCATGGAGATTAAACGATTTCTCCAACATGCATGAAAGAATCAAAGCAACACTCCAGGTGTGTTTCTGATGAAGGAATAACATAACATGATGTAAAGCTCAAAGAAATATAATTTTCCATAACACTGCCACTTTAATTTCTCAAATTTTATTAGGAAAAAATGTTAAGTTGAACGACACGTAAAATGGATAAAGTTTGTGGCTGTGTTAAAGCAAAACAACAGGAATGGGAGTGCTAATTCTTTCACGAAGCACAGTGAAGGATTTCTTCTCTTGTGCTTTTCTTCCTCTCTTTCCTGAGCGATGCAGAAAAATATGCAGCTGTAAATATGTTTTTCTGAATTGACTTATTGACTACAATGTGTTCAGGGACTCATGTCTGATCTGAAGGTGTGACTTCAAGGACAGTTTGGAGGTGTGGAGATGTGCTGTTTATCAGAAGGGGATGGAAGAGGCTGCAGTGGCCGCGGCGGCGTTTCTGGGCTATTTGTTTTCATTACGCAGCCAGAGCGAAGCCACCGCCTGGGCACTGTGCTCACACACAATATGGAGTGTCATTTGGAGAAGAACAAAAAAAACAGAGAAAAACAATGCCACTGCTGGAGTTCTGTCCACATTTCTTTTTTCTTTTGTTTTTTGTATTTGCAGCTTGCTGATTCATGTGAACACAATGCCTGAGAGATTTAGTCCTAAATCACTTGTTTGTATGTTCAAACGCAGAAGAAGAAGAATGAGTGACAGATCTCCCGGCCCGCTCCGCTCGCAGACAGTCGAGCTTAAAGCAGCTTTTTAATTTCCCAGCTGTCAAGTTTCCTTCAGTCGCTCTGAGACGGCTCAGAGTTAGCAGCGAGCCACCGTCTCTCACCTTGGAGAAATGCAGTTTTTCCCTCTGTGGACAGGCTGCACAATGCTTTTACTCTCATGGGTTGGGATTCTTTTTCTTACCCTGAGGCAGAAAAAAAAAAAAAAAAAAAAACACATGCTCCATATAAAATGATCCTATTTTTGAAACCCTTTTCATTGAGTTGTATAGGAAGAAGTTTTGATTTATATTTTTGATTTGTAGGGAGGAGTTCTTGGGTTTAAATGGTGAATGTGACTTACTTTTCCTCCTGCCTGCCCCAAAACACGCCTGGCATGAGATTAAATGCTGAGACTTCTCGTCAAAGTCAAGTCTGTCTCACATTTCAAACTATGTTACCTTCAGTTGTTATAAAATGCTGCATAAATGTGTGTCAAATATGAATTAAAATCCATTTTACTTCCAGAGGCCTTGAAATTGGGCCTCAGTCTTTGTTCCCTCTGAAACTCCGCCTTCAGGAAGTCGTCACTCCTGTATTAACCCTTTAGCAACAATCTTAACCGGCGTGAGCTGAGAAGGTCCACCAGGTGTTTGCTAATTGCTGCTGGCTAGTGTAAAGGAGCTGAGTGGGGGAGACACTTCTCTGTTTGGACAATACTCAGAGGAGGAGCTTCATCCTTGAAGGCGGAGCTAGGTCCACCCAGGCGTTTTGAACAGCTGAATGGTTGCCATAGAGACGGAAGGATTTCTCAAACATTCATGGAAGAATCAAAGCAACACTCCAGGTTTGTTTTTGTGGAGGGAAGAACCTTGTAACATGATGCAAGGCTCAAAAAAAGTCAATCTTACATAATACTACCCCTTTAATTAAATGAATCACAATGACATTTCATTTCCTTTTGGGATCAATAAAGTATGTTTGAACTGAACTGACCACACCCTCATTTGAAAAATTCTGAATTTTCCCCTCTAATGAATCCATCTGCAGTAACAGCTCAGTCGTCCAGTACAGTAGATTTATTCCCTTGATACACTCGCCCCACATCCTCACAAGGACTCATGAGAATCCTAAGATTATCACGACTGGAATAAGAATTAAAGCCGGAGGCTTAACGTGTCAGCCATGACGTTATGCAGAACCACTGCTGCAGTAGATGTGACTGATCGACTCGGGCTTACCCTTTCAAGTGTCTGAGCGCTTGCGAATCTCCAATATTGCTTGATTTCATGGATAACCGTTGCTCTGGCTCCACGCCACGCTCACCCCTCTCTTCCTCTTGAGTTGTGCTAGCGCAGCACCAAAGAACCTCAAGGAGTTGTTGACGAAATTTGATGAAAGAGCAACAAAGAGTTAGTCACACCGCTCCGCATGGGACATGTGGGAAAGTTGATGTGTTCCCCACCCTCGCCTCCCCCCCTCAGCTCATGCTGTTTTAGTGTGTGTGTGTGTGAGAGAGAGCTCGAGACCCCCCAGATGTCTCATTAGCTATATCATTAGGGAGACAGCTGGAAGGGGGCACAGACAGCTGACATGGGCCTGTAGTGGCAGGATTAGCCACGACTTTAGGACGGCTGAGTGTTTAGGGTCCAGATCCCATGTCCAGTCTCTAAGCATCAAGAGTCACCACAAAACTTTTAGTCCAATATTGTTGTTGTACTTTTTAGTTCTTTAAGCGCCAGACATGGAGCATAAGAACGTTTTCAGGTAGCATATTGATCTCTTCAGAATGACTCCATGACACTTTGCCACGCTGTCATCTTGTCCTCCTTCCACTTTGTACCCTTATACTATTTTCTATTTATTTATTTAGTTTTAGTAATTTTTAACCTTTCCATACACACATAAGTCTAAAATAAATACCACACACACTATGTTGAGCCCCCCATCACAAAAGGCTAGTACAGAAATAAATATTTAAATTCCTGTTGAAGTGTAGACTGAGAAAAGTGTAGGTAGAAGCACATGCTTATTATACCTTCACTTCTTTCTTACATACAGCATCAGCAAAATCAACACAGAACAATATTTCCTGTGTATTTTTATATACAAACCAGTATAGTGTCAGTTTATTTCTGCTTTGAGTTAAGTGTTTCCATAAATTATAACTGGTTATAATAATATTTAGACATAACTGGACATAGTACTTTTTCTAAAACTGTATATTACAACTCGCCTGGCCATTCCACTTGATTCTCATCTCCCTTCCGTCCTCCGTCTAGGATTTCTCCCATTGAGCTGCATTTCTCCAGCTGAATTTCGTCTTATTGCTAGCAAAAATGTTGTAGACCTATTCTTCACAGGATTGTTTACACAACTGCTGGTAAGCTTCATCAAACTTTCACAATATGTCATGGCCAAACGTTAGCGATTGGGTAAAATCAGATCCAAATCATTTCAAACTTCGACAGAGGCCACGCCTCCAGGAAGCAACTATTTCCTCATATCCAAGGATCCAGATCATCTGGATGAAGCAGATCTTGTAAAATATAGCAGACTAAGACTCCTGATGAAACCAAAATGACTACCGGCCATTGTCCTGTACTCATTATGCAATCTGCTTTATAAAGCGCACCAGTCCCTCCTGCAGCACCACATCATGATGCAGCCTCAGCCTTTTCCCTCCACATGTAAAGCCTCTGGGTGCATTGACAAACTGTAGACTGGTGTTGGTGTTGGTTTTGGAGCGATGGCTTCCAGCCAGTGTAAGTACAGAAACTGTGTTGGTGTATATAATGACAGTTTCTTATCAGATTGAGTCAAGCCTTTACAAGGTCTTTCGTTTTAGTTCAGGGGTTTATACACACACTTTGAGCTGAAACACATCCATCACTGGGATGCAGTCTGGCTCCTTCCAAAGCGCTGTAATAACTGGACATTCCCATGATTTCTGTAAATTGCTCAAACATATGAGCAGCTTCCAACTTCTGGAGCTCCAATGTTTAATGTCAGGCAGTGAGAAAAAAGGAATTATCTGTCTTATTTTATGCAATGCATATAAATATCTGGTTTCAGCTGTATTTACCTCTTAACTAATCAATTTCTTAGTGTTTCACAGATCAATATATCATTGTGTCTAAGCCTAAACCCGTTATCTTGTTCACAATGAGAAAGATTATAATCATTTGAATGTACAACAATACATCAGACTACACATGAATATTTTTAACAGTTTTTGGTATTTTTAGTTAGAAAAACCTGACATTGATACCACACAACACACATTAGTAGTATGTATAAACTATACCAGTTAGAATATTACATCACACCAATACAAAACTATTTTTAATGAAAAGAATCCTTATTATCTGCTTAAAGGTTTATTTCAGAAAGGAATGTTTAATCTTACAAAACAAATTTAACAGGAAGTACATTCTAATTTATTGAATATGACTGCAACACCCGGCAATGTCTGGATGCTAATGTCGTAGCTAGCCACAGCTAAGGTTTTTTTTTTATTTAACTGTTGACTCATTTACAGAATCAACAGTTGGTTTTCTCTTCAAAAGGATTGTTAAATTTCTTTGTTGGTTGGTTTGTGCAATATTTATTGAAATTCCTACTTTTTTTTTTTAATCAAAAGGTTAGATACAGATTTCCAATATCTTAAGGTCATCTGGTAACATAAATTAGAGAGATTCAGTCATGACTCATTCGTGATGTAGGCAAAACATCAACTTTATGAGTCTAACAAAGAGGAAGAAGAAGAAATCATGTTTCATGAGATGATTCAACCAACTGTAAGTTTCTCCTCAGTAACTCCAGAAGAAAAGCCTGAGTGTAATTAAATACTCCAGGAGACACATTTAATGACGGCTCTGTATGAGTGGGGATGAGGGGGGGCTTGCTTCTTGCTTTACTCACGCCCCTCCCCAAACTCATTCCCCTCCATCGCCGCCCATGTCATGCCCCATCGGAGGCCGCAACCCGTAGTGACCGCGCGGCTGACAGCTGCCACACTGGAAAAACAACGGCTGCCATTTTACTCCATGTGAACTCATGGAGTAATTCCAGGAATGGCTGTGATTCAACTGTGGCCCTATAATGTTACATAATGAGTGCGCTTCATAAACATAATCTCTGCTTCCCTTTTCCTTCCTCTTCCCCTCGGTGTCACCTTCTCATCTTCAGCCCGGTGTCAGGCCCGCTCCCTGACCGAGCCGGATCCGTTTCCCACCCCTCTCTGTCTTTTACATATTTCACGTTATGCATTTAGAAGCACACAGCTGCGCTTCCCACAGCTGCTGTTTAATTGGAGCGGAGTTTTACGTCTGCACACTGCGCTGACTTTTTGTTTTATTCCAACCTCGTTGCCCTAGCAGAAAAAAAAAAAAAAAACTTCCACAGGGATAGTCAGAAGTTTACATCCACTCTACCAAACTTTTTTCTTTTTTAATTGCATAATTTATCCATGCTAAAACCAATTTTGATGTGTTTCTTATCACTGTCCTGTTGCAAACTCTAAATATGTCCATGTTTCAGTCATCTGCCTGTTGATGTGGGGTAAAGTTAAAGGTCC